TTAAAAAACTTTTACTTATACTATTTCTTAAAACACAACATTATTTTTACTTTCTTAAAACATACATAAAACAACATTATTTTTACTTTCTTAAAACATACATAAAACAACATTATTTTTACTTTCTTAAAACATACATAAAACAACATTATTTTTACTTTCTTAAAACATACATAAAACAACATTATTTTTACTTTCTTAAAACATACATAAAACAACATTATTTTTACTTTCTTAAAACATACATAAAACAACATTATTTTTACTTTCTTAAAACAAACATAAAACAACATTATTTTTACTTTCTTAAAACATACATAAAACAACATTATTTTTACTTTCTTAAAACATACATAAAACAACATTATTTTTACTTTCTTAAAACATACATAAAACAACATTATTTTTACTTTCTTAAAACATACATAAAACAACATTATTTTTACTTTCTTAAAACATACATAAAACAACATTATTTTTACTTTCTTAAAACATACATAAAACAACATTATTTTTACTTTCTTAAAACATACATAAAACAACATTATTTTTACTTTCTTAAAACATACATAAAACAACATTATTTTTACTTTCTTAAAACATACATAAAACAACATTATTTTTACTTTCTTAAAACATACATAAAACAACATTATTTTTGCTTTCTTAAAACATACATAAAACAACATTATTTTTGCTTTCTTAAAACATACATAAAACAACATTATTTTTGCTTTCTTAAAACATACATAAAACAACATTATTTTTACTTTCTTAAAACATACATAAAACAACATTATTTTTGCTTTCTTAAAACATACATAAAACAACATTATTTTTGCTTTCTTAAAACATACATAAAACAACATTATTTTTACTTTCTTAAAACATTCATAAAACAACATTATTTTTACTTTCTTAAAACATTCATAAAACAACATTATTTTTACTTTCTTAAAACATACATAAAACAACATTATTTTTACTTTCTTAAAACATTCATAAAACAACATTATTTTTACTTTCTTAAAACATTCATAAAACAACATTATTTTTACTTTCTTAAAACATACATAAAACAACATTATTTTTGCTTTCTTAAAACATACATAAAACAACATTATTTTTGCTTTCTTAAAACATACATAAAACAACATTATTTTTGCTTTCTTAAAACATACATTATTTTTGCTTTCTTAAAAAAATAAAACAACATTATTTTTGCTTTCTTAAAACATACATAAAACAACATTATTTTTGCTTTCTTAAAACACTCATAACACAATATTATTTTTACTTTCTTAAAACATTCATAAAACAACATTATTTTTGCTTTCTTAAAACACTCATAACACAGTATTATTTTTACTTTCTTAAAACATTCATAAAACAATATTATTTTTACTTTCTTAAAACATACATAAAACAACATTATTTTTACTTTCTTAAAACATACATAAAACAACATTATTTTTGCTTTCTTAAAACATACATAAAACAACATTATTTTTACTTTCTTAAAACATACATAAAACAACATTATTTTTACTTTCTTAAAACATTCATAAAACAACATTATTTTTACTTTCTTAAAACATTCATAAAACAACATTATTTTTACTTTCTTAAAACATACATAAAACAACATTATTTTTGCTTTCTTAAAACATACATAAAACAACATTATTTTTGCTTTCTTAAAACATACATAAAACAACATTATTTTTACTTTCTTAAAACATACATAAAACAACATTATTTTTACTTTCTTAAAACATACATAAAACAACATTATTTTTGCTTTCTTAAAACATTCATAAAACAACATTATTTTTGCTTTCTTAAAACATACATAAAACAACATTATTTTTGCTTTCTTAAAACAACATTATTTTTGCTTTCTTAAAAAAATAAAACAACATTATTTTTGCATTCATAAAACAACATTATTTTTGCTTTCTTAAAACATTCATAAAACAACATTATTTTTACTTTCTTAAAACATACATAAAACAACATTATTTTTACTTTCTTAAAACATTCATAAAACAACATTATTTTTACTTACATACATAAAACAACATTATTTTTACTTTCTTAAAACATACATAAAACAACATTATTTTTACTTTCTTAAAACATTCATAAAACAACATTATTTTTGCTTTCTTAAAACATTCATAAAACAATATTATTTTTGCTTTCTTAAAACATTCATAATACAATATTATTTTTACTTTCTTAAAACATTCATAAAACAACATTATTTTTGCTTTCTTAAAACATTCATAAAACAATATTATTTTTGCTTTCTTAAAACATTCATAATACAATATTATTTTTGCTTTCTTAAAACATTCATAACACAATATTT